GCCAATTCAACATGCCAAAATGGATGAAAAGCCAAAACAGGATCTGACTAGTGCCAACGGTGCAGGACACACTGGGAAGCGAGGGCGACAGATGCTCACTGGTGGCCCGACAGCGGCCGTTGGCTTGGTGTGAACACAATGCACTGTAATCTACAGTACATGCTCTTCATGTCCTTATAGCTACAGATTTATGAGGTGGTGTGGGAGTGACAGACTAACAGTTAAATGTGACATTTTGTTGCTTTGATTAAGTCTGGAGAAAGTTTCTTCCTGTCTTTTAAACCAGTACCAAATAAATAAATTCTTTATTACCTGTGTGCGTGTTTGTGTGTTTCTGAAGGAATCACTGATCGAGGAGGCATCACACACACTGACGGCAGCACTTCCCCTCACTCTCTTGTTCTCAGCTTCTCTTTTCATCATAATAGGGTCCTTTCTCTCCTAATGGCCTCCTCCTCACCGAAACGCCTCAGTCGATTTCACACAATATCACTGATGATTCACCAGAGGAGTCTTGTAATTGGGGGAAATATTCCTGTTCAAGCACTTCGTTTGAAAGCGTGTGTGTGTGTGTGTGTGTGTGTGTGTGTGTGTGTGTGTGTGTGGTGTGTGAAGTAAACTGACTGATGGGTGTAAAGAGACACCTGTCAGAAAAAAAAAATTCTAATGAGAGGGACATTTTATTTCCATCATTGCGAGCTTTACTTACAGGTTTTAAGTGGATTCTTACACTAGTGTTTTGGTGACTACGTGGGCCCTCCTGTCAGTCACATGCGATCACATCGCTCTGACAACAGAGCGGAGCCACTGTGGGAGTGAATCCATGTGAGAATACAGCAGTGTATAGTCCAGAAGATTCACAATGAGCTAGTGGTGTGTTGATGTTCTACGGTGAACATGATAGTATGCATTCCAACTACTTCTAGCATGTATCATTTAGCATGTTTGCATACTAATGCTTGTTAGTTAACATTCAGCGAAGTAACTTTCTGGATTATAACAATAATATTGATGAGCACACACTTGCGGTGTAAAACTACCACATGCAAAAACAGTGTCTTCCTTGACACATATCCAGAAAAAAAGATGGAAAATTAATTAACAAAATGTGCAAAACATTTCCTGCCAAAACATGACTGTTCTCTGTTAAGGAGCAACAACTGAATCCAAAATTAACCTGATCTTAATTTAATTTTTACACCCCAGCTAAGAGTTTTCACACACCTGACAGTCCTCCTCATACAGAAAAGAAAAAAAGAAAAAAACATTCTCTCCCTTTCACTTCTGTCACAAGTTTGTCTGTGTTTATCTGCAGATCAGGAACCAGGAAGAAAGCAGTAAAATACAAAGGAGCAATCACAGGCCAAACATTATAATACACAACACCACAAAATGTTTAGTTTATATTAGGGCTGCCCACAAATAATTGAGTCATTAGTGGAGAGACGTGTCAGTGGACTGAGACTCTTCCAGTCGAGCCTTTGTTTTTATTTTATTTATTTTTTGTCAGCCAGTGTTACAATAGCAGCCCCAGTTGGTCTTCTCCTCATTTTGGTGTGCCAAACAGCAATTAGCTCAGTACTGCCCCCTGTGGTCACTTCAACTGTGATACTGTCTGAATCATGGAGGCACATTATGAAGGTTTAGCAGACTGCAGAACGAGGAGAGAAGGACAACAAAACCCACTAGGACAAGACACATAAAAGGTGAGATACTTTATTAGAAGTGTTCTCAAACATAGTTTTTTTACGTTTACAAGAGAAAAGATCTCAATGATGTGACTGTTTCTACAACATGCATCCATGCAAATGAGACTAGGAAGCTATATATTTTATAAATAAGAGGAACCGTTTACAGTGTGAGCTGGTGCACGTCAAATGCACAGTCACAACCTGCACTGTTGTTAACCGACAGGAAAAGCTCCAGCTTGTTGGTAAACTCAGCTACAACCACTTCTCAGAAGAAAAACTGCCTATAAGAGCATGGTTTCAACAGAAATACAAGTGCATTGCCTGTCTCCTTATTCTGACAAATCCATATGGCAGCCTGATATTATATATTGACAATCTAAATAGGTTGCAATTTAACTGTTGCATCATAGGCATCTGTCTTTTATTGATTTTTAAATGCTCAGAAATATGTTCCTGTCACTCTGTAGCATTTAAATACTGATGTTAATGTGGTGGAAATCATCACTGATATTCATTCCAGTTGATTTGCTGACAGTCTAGGCTATATATAATTGACTGACAAAACCCTTAGTTGGGTAGAGCCCCAGTTTATATAACACTAATTCAAATAAAAGACATTTGAAGATAGACATACCGACTGACAATAGTAAAAATAGGTGACTCCACACAAGACTCTCTAAAGACATTAAGTTCAAATAATTCCTAATGCTCAAATGACAAATTGACCTCAGGGGGTTAAAATAAAAGGATGGAATCTTTACAGTGTTGATGTTGGTATAGCTCGCTGAGGAAGCCAAACAGAGTCTGACACATCTAAAGTGTGTAATGCACTGCTATACATAAAAAAAAACTGTCCTCCAGCTCTGATAGTTTTTCCTTGATTTGCAACGTTTCATTGAGTTGTATTTAAATCAGTGACTCCCCAGATGATCTCATTCAACACACACAACTTCAACCTCATTACGTCGACTGTTATTTCAAGCAAAATAATGCACTGATGAAGTGTGTTTACAGTGTTTAGAAGTGGTTCAAGATATTCTGTGTAATGAGACAGCTTTTCGATTGTGAAGAGCTCTTTAACACATCCAGTGTCGAGGGCACACATACGTCACGAGGACAGAGCCGAGAGCTGCTCACATGGTAAAAGATATGCTGCTGCCTCAGACTCAACATTTAAATGACTTGGTAACAATAACTGACAGATGATAATTTCATGCAGCAATAATTAGGAAAATTGAGATTAACGTCACTTAGGCAAATAATTGGTAAATGAAGCAAATACTTATGAACAATAGAGTAATTTGTAATTTCTTATCTATCATCATAAAAAGTGTAAACTCACTGATGAGTTCTCCGCAGGAAGAAAAACTCCCACTGAAGAATAAATCAAACTGCCTCAGACGTTTTCTGTTGATTTATGATTGCCTGCGCACATAAGGCTGAACTAGTGCTTCACTACAGGCTATAGTATGGTAGGTTAACAATGATGATGTGTATTTTAGGAGTGAATGGGATGGGCAATCCTAAAGAACCTTCATATGATTTTGGGTCAACACATCATCAATTCAGCTTCACTTCAAAACTAAAGATATTCTGAACAACCTAATTTTGAAGTTTTTGCAGTGTAACAAATTACTAATGAACCGAAAAATAAAAATTTGTATGTACTTGTACTTTGTTTTATTACACTACATCATTCTGCTGCCAGTTTCTCCATTGGTTTTATAAGGATAATAATAATAATAATCACCTTTATTGGCCAAGTATGTTACATACAAGGAATTTGTTTCCGGTATAGAACCGAGGCAGCCATCTCTAACCATTGGGTTGAAGATCACAAAGTTAGCAGGGAGCATCTGGTAGTTCTACACTGAACAAGACATTCTGACAAACTAAAAATCTGACAACATGAACTGAGAGCTGAACAAGCCAAAAATACCAAAGCTCCAGCTCTCAAACATCCAAGGTCTCAAAACTTTAAAGACCCATTTTAAACTTTCACTAATTAAATTGAAGGTTTAAATAAAAGCCAAGTTCTTCAACTTGCAAACAGAGAAGAGAAATCTCTGAATAACGGTCTGGCAGGCGTGTTGTGTGTCTGAAGGGGTTTTGCAGCCCTTAAGACGACACTGGTCTAAGAACTGTATCAGAGCAAGGAAGCAAACAACAGAAAGGCTCTGAAACTACTCAGAGTTAATGTAAAGCCATTTATCTTTAAACATATTCAGAGTCCTGTGTGCACAGTCAAACAACAGCTGTGGCTGCGTGGGATTAATGCTGCTGCAGGAGGCCAGGTAATGTGGTTTCAATAGCTGAATTTCAGTAATTTCCCTGAATAGAACAATAATTTGTGATTATTACAGGGTGGACATCCCTGCAAGAAAACCGTAAAGAGGACAAATGAGCTCTTGGCTTTCTGGCAGCCACAGTACAGGCCCACAGAGCCGTACCAACGTAAAACAAAAGAAGAACAAAGACCTCAGGGTGCTGAGACGCTAAGAACAACATAAAAAAAACCAAAGGCATTTCTGGCTGCAATCACAAGAATTATTAGACAATAGATTTGAAAAAGACAGCGTTTACACCGGAGGGAACCTTTAGAAAGATGGTTATTTGATAAATTGATGAATGTAAGAGAATCATTCAATCAATTCACTCCCTTTTTCCAAGTACTTCCAGAGAAGGAGCTAAAGCAGTTTCACAGGAACAATAACAACACACCAAAACAATCAGTACTTAAACTTTAAAATCATCTATAACATATTTCATTTACTACTGAGACTGACACTAACTGGGAGCTCACAAGTCACCAGCGACTAATAATGGTCCAGAGCTGGTTTTGGTGCACCTGTGTAGGTAATAAAAGCTACCTGTTGATTCTTCATTTAGACGGGTGTACACACACCCCTGAAAAACTCCTTCATTAGGGGGTAGTACTTTCTGAAGGTCTAAGATTTATCAAGACAACAGTCACTGAAAACATCTGAACACAATGGTTAAGAGGCTCAACCTGAAGTTACAACATTGTCCAGTTCATTTGTAAACAACTTCATGGAGGTTTATCCTCAGTGGACACTGGTACCACCGAGTCTGGAGGGAGTAAGTCTGTCTGATTCCAACAGTATGTGTGGGCTCAGACTGGACTGAGATTAGACTAAGAATTAGAAATGTGATTTCTGATGCTGTGTGTGTCATTAAGGTGTTAGTGCAATCTCATCTCAAGAATGGAAACAATGGTCCTAATTTTTGCAACCATCTGTAGGGGCAAATCAGTTTTAGTGTTTCTTATTTTTGTGAGTGACCTCTGACCTTTAGCTTCCTGGCAAACTCCACGTGGTTGTCGTAAACGAGAACATTGGCAATGAGGCTCTCTTTCTTCTTGGAGAAGGAGGATGGTCCCTCTGTGACATTTGGCTCAACTATCACCTTCAGCAGGGTGTGAGGACACCTGGTCCCATCCCATACCTGAAAAACAAACAATAAAACATGACAAAAAGGAAAAAGAAACATGATAGACAAGAGTCAGAACAGCTGACGAGAGCAGTATGTGATGGTGATTACAGTTCATTCATCCAACTCCTTGGTCAAAACCCAAGTGGCGTGCAGCATCACAAAGCCTGTATTGCACTGAAATAAACTCCTGTGTAATATCAGAGATACTACATATTGTACAGCAATACAACATTTTGGAGTCTCATGGTCCATATAAAATCCAGGGTTTATGGATTTGGATTGTTACACATTGTTATTCAGACTTTGTGCATGTTCAATTTGAAATAAAATAATAAATACTGCATTAAAATGCAGTATGAAGTGCATAGGAGATGTAGCCTTGTTATACAGCTCAGATCGTAGAGGTTCAAAAGTCATTCAACATTTGACTACTATATGTCTCTTGGCCAGCTGTGTGTCATTTCAACGCAAGGCCCAGAAGCAACAGGGAGTTGAACATTGTCATTTAGATTCAGATGTTGTCCTTCAATATGAGAAGTAAAGAAGGGGCCTATCAGATCTATCAAAGGTAAATCTAGACAAAAAAAAAAACCTCAACAACCAGGCCAAGGAGCACTGTGGATGTGTGGAACGTCAGTGAAGAAAAAGCCCTTCACAAATTACAGCAAGTCAAGAAAGGCCTCCACGAGGTAGGCATCCATTTTTCCTTGTCAATGATGAAGAGAGAACATCATGACCTAAACCTTAGAGCATTCAGCACAAGACGCAAACTCTGGGCAAGCTTCAAAAACAGAAAACACAATGATGGAAAGATGAAAGTGTGGAGGAAAAAAAAAAAAAGAAAAGAACAGCTCATGACCCAAAGCATCTGTCAAACACAGCGGTGGTTCTCTTAGGGCTTTGGCATGAATGGCTGCCACTGGAAATGGCACTCTGGCACTGATTGATGAAGCAGCAGGATGAGTGCAGCCAAATGCATCAAAACTCACTGAATGACATTTCATCATTAAGCAGGACAACGATCTGCAACCAAAGACCTTTTTGTCTAAAAGTGTCCAAATACAAAACTGTATTCTAAAATCTAAGACGCACACATGGTGACTAGTGAAACAAAACCACGAGTATCAGAGACTCAGACCTGGACTAATAAAACCAAACTGACTGGACAGATTCTACCACAAGAAAGCTCAAATATATTTATAGTTTATTTTTTAAACTGTAAAAGATTTGTCAATTAATTTTAGTAACAAAAATGGAATAAATGGTGTTTAGTACTGGCCCTAAAAATTATTGTCCGATTAATGTGCTGTTTATTTTCTTTATTTCTAATTGTTTAGTCTATAAAATGTGTCACAAGGTTGAAAAACTACAAGTACAAAACACAGGACATTCAATTTACATCATTAAACAGGAGAAACAAAACAATAAATACTCACATTGGAGAAGCTCAAACCAGAGAAAGTTTTTTTCAATCAAAAACAAAATTCTATAAGTGATTTAACAATCTACTCAGCTGTCAAGTGACTGATATATTAATTGTTGAAGCTCTAAACTGTTAAATCCGAGCTTCAGTGCGAACAGGCCGTAACATTTTAACCTAATCTTTCACAGTCAGACTGATTTACAGTATGTAAAATAAGGTTGGTGTACAGTGATGCAGCTCTGAGCAGGAAACATTTAACAAACTCTTAGCCGATCATTATCTCAGGTGCTTACAAGGACACATAAAAATCTGTTTGTGTGAAAACCTCTTAGGATTTGGACAACATCCTCTCCTGTATGTGTCGTTGTGTAAGAGCAGGCTGCTACAGCTCAGAGCTGACTGGAAGCAGACCAGCGTTCACTGCCAATTCCTCTTCAAATTTATCTCTATCAGCTTCACTGGCAGGAGGCCAGCCGTCACTTACAGCCTCATTTCTGCTCTGAAAACGGAGGCGGCAGGTGAAAATACTTAGGACCGAGATAAAATACATGAGACCTTCTCCCGTTGAGGCCACTCAGATGTGAAGTAGATTTACTACAAGACGGATGAAGACTGAAGGCAAACAGCTCCATTATTCCAAAGGGAAAAAAAACAACACCAACTACTTCAGCACGGTTATTTCTTCATTTTGAATGGAACCATAGCTGAGGAACAAAACGGCAACCAGCTTCCTGACAAGACGACAGGTCATATCAGCACTGACAAGAAGATTCAAACAAGTGACTGTGGGTAATATATTAGCTGATGCTAAATGGCCTCCAGGGAAGCTCTGTCACTGAAGGATTTTCTGGTCTGTTGTTTATTAGCAGGAAACATCTCAAAAAAGGGAAACTTCACCCTCTGAGCTACTGTCAGTGACCATCAGTTTGTGATGCCCAGCCTACTGGAAATAAATTCTGGAGTCGACAAATATAGAGAAAAAAACCAAACACATTTTGGTTGCCTGCTGGGACCCTTCTGGAATTTAGCTGCTGGACATCTTAGTGACATGTGAAAGTGACAGTCCTCTGTAATGACAGGGTGTCTGGCTCTTTTCTAGGTCAAAAATCCATTTTCAAACCCAATTATCTGCCTTGTCTGTCCCCAACGTGCACCACGTATCAGCAGAAAATAAACCCATCAGTTGCTGCAGTAGTTTCTATCTGCAGCATTTCTTCAGGTCTCTTACCCTCAGCAGGGTGCAGGTAGTGTCGATGGGAGCTTTGGCAAGCAGCTGGCAGTTCAGGTCGAAGTAAGATTTGGGCTGAACAGCAGATAGAGGGGTCGTGGTAACTGCAGGAAGGACAGTCTGGCTTGCCGCCCAAGATCTCAGCTCCTCCACGATCCGCCGGTCGTCCTGGTCAAAGTGGAAGGAGCGACTTGAAGTCCGCGGCTCCACGGGTCTGCCTACTGTCCCGTCAAACGTCAGCGCAGAGAAACCGAAGGTGTTGACCAGCGTGATGGAGTCGTTGAAGAGCGTGGTCTGTGTGCAGAGACATGGCATCACTCATCACCGTTCTCTTTAACATACATGAGTTTAGCTCCAACACTAGACTAAGGTTACTAAAGGAAACTAATCCTGGCTGGACCTTGACTCTGTGCATGCGGATGATGTCTCCAATCTGAAAGATTTTGGGGTGATCCTCCAGTTTGTCACAGAAGATGCTGCAGCTGATCTTCTGGTTGGACTGGTCAGTAATCTTCAGGGTGGAGCAGCAGTCTGTGGAAAGAAAACCTCCTGTTGTCAGCACGTGAAACTAAACTAAAGAAGAGGTCTGAGATTATTCAGTTAAGCCTGTTGGCTAGTGTTTTTAAATAAAATGTCAGGACGTACCGTGTTCACACTTCTAACTCCTGCTCTGTGAAATAGCTTAAAGCCCATTTTAAAACTACACACGCTGAAAAAATTCCAAGTTATCTGTTGACAGGAAACGTATTTTACCAATTATTAGCACGACTAATTTACCAGCTAATATACTCTCATCCTAGATCTATCTATATAAACATAAATGTGTTTCAAGAAGCCACATCAGTAGAGAAATGGCAAAAACATTTTTGAGGTCATTTAGAAAGAACATCTCATTACAAAGTTTGTCCACCAGGGACGATCCCAAAGTTTTACACTACTAAAATATCTTGGTCACAATTTTTAAATAACCCAATTCAAATGATTCCCACTGATGTTGTGGGTCTACTGGCTGGTTACAGATTATTTCAACTTTCATACACCCATATTAGTGTCAAAATGCAGCTCTAGCCCTCACCAAAACACCAAAACAAGCATATTTGTGCATGTTTTAAAGTGTATGACCATGTTCTGTTCTCAGCAAAAGATTTTAGTTTTGACAAGTGAATCATTTGTAATTAAAACGATGCTGACTTTGTAAAGTTCTCTCTCAATATTCTGACTTTTGTTTTCATATCCATTAGATGTGCACGTCGGCGTGTGTCTGACAGGATTTCGTCTGTGTGAACGTGCATCTGTGTTTCTCGTGTGTGCGTTTCTCCAATGTCTGATCAGATGGATTTTTCTAATATCTCTGTCACAAAGAATTTACAAAGATGATGACAAAGTCTGAACAGTTTCCAGCTGAGACGCTGCTTTCTCCTTATTATCCCTCTGAAACACCCACGCACACACACACGCACACACACGCTGTGTTTAGCTCACTCAGAGATGGCAAAAGTACACAAATTTGTTACTCACATAGAAGTACAGATTAAACGTTGCTCCTGAGGTTCAATGGAACAAATCAGCACAGCTTCCTGTGTGATAAATACTTTGAAGCTTTTCGTTTCACAATGAGCATTCCTTTGTCTGTCTGCATTGTTTACTGCCTGTTTATTTTGCATTGTTTGTTGCTTGTTAATACTATTTATTTTGTTATATTACACAGCCTTATATTGGTTTACTGTTTACTTGCCCCTTGCATGGGGATATGTAAATGCACACTGAGCCGATGTACCAGAGTCAAATTCCTCGTGGGTCTGATACACCTGGCCAATGAAGCTGATTCTGATTCTTTTAATGCCTGACAAGAATCCTTTTCAAACCCAGATATCCGTTATTTATCCGTTATTACACCAGCAACAGATAAACTGAAAATATGCTTTGCCATCCCGCTCCTCTGCACCTTTCTGAGTGTGCTGTACGAGTTTCCATCCAAACAAAAGCACTGAGCTTTTATCGCTTCATCAAACTGTTCCTCTGTTTGTCAACCCATCCCTGTCTCAGCAGCAGTGGTGCAGCTTGTTTCCAGGCCACATTCTCCAGTAACTATCAGTCAAACATCTCAAACACAGCAGCTCACCACCCGTTCTGCTCTTTAGTGCCACAGAGCTCTTATACTTTTGGACAAACAATCCACTTAAACAATAAGAAAACCAAAGTCAGACTGAAGGGGAATAAACATATAAAGTGAAATGACTATTTTAAAAACAGAATATGAACTTGAAACTATCAATATAATATAGAATTAAAAATGTTACAACTCACAAGGAAACAGGAGCAGCTCGTGCTGTCTGTTTTTTTTTCGAGCCTCACTGGGCTTAAAGGAAGCTAGTTAAACAGCTTTGAGCATTGTTAGTATAACAGGCTAAATCTAAATCTAATCTCACAGAGCTGCTAGCAAGGCTATAGACTCTTTCTCCAGTTTAAAGGGTAATGTTCATGACACCGTGTTGCATTTTCTGTCCATCATTTGGTCTGGGGTTCAGGCTGACCTGTTCCTCGGCTCCTGAACGGCTGCTTGAAGAAGACCACCACTCCGTACACGTTGACTACAGACCTAGCCTTCAGGTTGCCCAGTTGCACATATGTATATTTCGGAGTCTTGGGCCTCCTAAAAACCTGAGGAGAAACAAGCACAAAGCACCAGCACCTAGCTTAGGATGCTGTATGCCCCCTGCTGCAGCTGCAGTTTTTCTGCACCTGTGGTCGATATTTATAAAACAATAAGAACTAGCGGTTTTTAAAAGCTGTGACTTCAAAAGTTTAAAGACAATCATATTAAACACTGGCACTCTTCTGGCAAACATCATCATCATCACAGACAAACAGATAGATGACTCTGGGACAGCTGGCCACTGACATGAAGCATCCTGACCGATACAAGAGCACCACAACACACTCCAGCTGCCTGCTCTGCTAAGCAGGCCTCTGACCCCAACCTCAGTGGAGAGCGTGGTGCTCCTCTTGGTGGCCAACAGGGATTTGGGATCCGGAGGCAGCGGCAGGCGGAACACCTGAAAGACAAAGAAAATGATAGGATGATGAATGAATAGCATCAACTGTCTCCAATAAAACTAGCAAAGCTGAGTGAACTATCAGAGTACAGTACAACTCAATTAACCGGTTGGGTCAAATTTTATTTAATATAAACCAAACTCACAAATTTGCCTAAAAAGCTTCACATACAGTCAGTCTATAAAACAAAGCACACCGAGTCTGACCCTTAATTTAGATAAGAAAATACCCTATTCAGGTTCAGCTGTTCATCATTAGCATACCAAATGTTCAGCCCGCATGTCACATGACCAATGCCATTTGGCATCATTTTCAGATGCAAACTGAGCTCACAGAGTAACCTGAATAGTGTCTGAATCAACTTTTCTATATTAATTTGTAAACTCTAAAAATATACAGTTCAAATGTTTGTCACAACAGATTTATTTTATCCACCACATAACAGTAATAGCAATAAATAACTAGCAGTCATGCAACAGATGGTCTGTCCCCCACAGACACCTCCTGCTAGGAGTCAACCAGTCACTGCATCATTTGATTAGAGCTCCGGCTGACATGGACGACATGGACATTGCCAGCTGACTCACTGCACTGTCATTGTAAGGCAGGCTGTAAACTTTACAAACCGACTAAACCAAAATGACCAACTCACAAAACAAACTATGATGAAAGCGATACTCCGGTGACAACAACATACACAATGAGCGTTGATGAACACTGCAACCTGCAGCCTCACCACTAGAAGTCACTAAATCTCACACTTCTAATGTACAGTACTTTGGTTATGATGGTGAAGTCAACTACCCTTGGTTACCCCCTGAAATTATTGCTGGCTAAGGCAGTTTGGAAGCAGAACGAGACCCTCCTTTTTAAGCAGCCTTGGTCTGGCTGTTTCATTTGACTGACTGTTTTCACACATGTTCAAAGAAACCACACTTTGGCAGAGTTATTTTAACTGAAGCAAATATGTTCAGCATAGGAACAGTGCAAAATGAACAGTGAGAAAGAACCTATTTATTTTTGCATACATACATACAGAACATATTATACAAGTTTATGAAAGTCCTTACATAAACACAGGCGTCTTCTGACAGCTGCAGGTTACAGGGGTGCAGCTTGTCCTTATTAAACGTGGGAGATTTGCCCACAGTGAAGCCTGAGGCCACCACCACATCCTGCACAAAAATACAAGATAAACAACAACAAGCAGAGAAATCGGGGATTAAAACTGAGAGCAGAGAGAAATATACATCATTCTTCCCAGAGGGACGACAGATTGAAGCAGCAGATGTTTCATCTGGGGAGACTTGAAGGAAGATGTCACAGCAAGCTGCTGATGATAAGCTGGTGTGAAAAGTGGAGATTGTTTTTGTTTGGTGTGTCAGCTGCCCCCCAAGAGGGCTTTAAAGCCTCCGGTCAGGGCTGACAAAGGGGCAGCAGATAGTCTGAATAATCATATTACAGAGACACAGGCCCAACAAGCCCTCTGTGATCTACAGCTGAGCACAGCAGCTCAGGCTGCGATGACTTCCTGTCTTCACAGAGCTTTACACGGCTTTGAGTTCCATCAAGACGTCGCTGTAAGAAAACCAAAAACACAGTGAGCTGCTGCTGACAGAGGGATTATCCCTGATACGCTCACTGTCCCCAATCAGGTCCCTGACACATCCACTGATTTGTAAACATCATCATCAGTGCTGCTGTGTACAGATGCTGCAGTATCACAGTGGACTGAGAAGACCCAAACTGTCGCAGCAAGCTGGAGCAACAGCGATTCAGTGTTCCTTTGTGAGGAGCTGCAGGACTGTCACAGAACCCTTATACGTGAGAGGCCAAGGTAACAGATCTTAGGATAATCTATTCTTTAACACCACAGTAGCTGTTTTTTGGTAACCTGGGGGCAGCAGTAACACATTGTGAACACTACACTGGTGTATCATCATCTACAAAGTTGATACAGTTGCTTATTTACACCTCAGACAGCTACAGAGAAACAAGATTATTCCTGTGTGGTGCTGGTGTTTAGCCCACCGTATGAATGTAAGTCCAGTACTCACTCTCTTCCAGCTCTGCTTTTGTCTCCACCCCCCCCTGAGGAAAGGTGTGTTAGATATTAATATTTGATAAACAGTTTATTCGACTGGTTTGGTTTGGAGACCGGTTATGATACTATATGTGAATATATGTATAATATAAAACATGAAGAAAGTTATAAGGAGACCATTCATCTGGGGTAATAATGGGCTGAGGAACTGCACTTCTGGGCCTAGTAGCCCTTTTTCCTGGTTAGTTAGCATATTTATGTACTATGAGCTGTTTTTTCAGGACTTAGTCAATAGTTCTAAAGTATGTTGTCGTCAAATGAACGTCACTCAGGCATCAATTTTGGCGAGGGTTCTCGCTGCAGTTAAATTTCAGCTCTATTTCTGCAAAACTGAAGAAACCAACTCCCCATATTCCTCATTTAGTCTTTTGCTCCTCCCTTGTGACCTAGGGAGTGAACAGATAACAGTGATATGGACAAAATAAAATTACAAACACTGACACCAGATTACATGCACGGTTTCCTGTGAGAAATGGCGCTCTGTGCCTCTCCCTGCTGGCAAATAAAGTGGTTTAGATAGTCTACATGCACTTGGCACAGACTCATCCCTTTTTCAGATTTTCTCCAGAGTACAGGATATTCAATTTCTTCAACCCATCAGAGGCATAACACAGCTCAGTACACATTTCTTCAAACACACCATATGTACATTTATTTATCCAATCCTACAGAAGAATTTCATAGCACTCAACAAACTCATTACTTTATTCAAATCTCAGTTTTTATGGTATAGAAATATACGATCTCCACTGACACCCCTTCCAAATAACCCTGACTTGTTTTTAATAAAAATAACATAATGCAATCAGCATCACATGAATATTCATTATAAACCTGTTCTTCATTCAAACCTCTCAGGCTCAATACACACAGCTTCAAAACTCCTCTGTTTGACAAGGAGACTCCCTATTCACATTTATGATCTAATCAAAATATAATAAAATGCTATTCCATGCAGAGACGAGGAACAGCAAAGCCAGCAACAGGGACAAGCTAAACAGTAAGAATAAAAAGGCAGGTTTTTAAACAAAACACAAATTCTCAGTCAAGGCGAAAAGTCTCTAAAGGACACCACTTAATGAGTCAAATTAGAGGAAAACAACTCAATTCAGTTTTATTTGTATCATGCCAGTTCACAACATCATCATCTCAGGGCACTTTACATAAGGTCTAGACCTTACAGCATCACAGGGGAAACCCAACAAATCCCCCTTGAGCAAGCACTTGGCAACAAAAACTACTCAGAAAACAAGGAACTCTAGCCTTTCTGCAAAGCATCATGGGACATCCAAATAAAGTCTGGCATTGTCTGGGAAAGTGACGATTGTGTGAACTTTACCTGGGAACAAACGCACCACCAGGTTGTGTTATCACACAGAGCAGAGACAAGGAAACAGAACTTAAACTGTAAATTAGATTCGGCAGCCAGACGACACAAACATCTCCACTTACATGTTATCACAACAGTATCTGTGCATCCACACTAAATACATATTCACATGACTGATACATCAAGTCTGAGTGTTCACAAAGAGTCAATATCTCCAACAGTTTCTCCAGGACAGTAAAGAAACCCTGAGGATTTCTCAGCAGCGTTTATAAAGACATGGATATTTATATTATGAAATTGCTCCTGTCACTTCTATCTGATGTAAACAACATTTGCCATACCATCATAGACTGTTTGTGTTGTTCTAAAGTCTAAAATTTAGCCTGACAGTTCATATTTTATCTTTAATGATCAAGCAAACTTACCCCTTGATTGACGGCTTGACTGAAGTCCTTGGCCAGTGCTCCCAACAGGACAATGTTGATGGACAGTGTGTGAGACGAGGCGTTCGCTGGAGAATCGTCTTCTGGAAAACAAAAGGTACTTTTAAACTTCTTGAGAACAACTGCTAGACAAAACAAGCTACTTGAAGCCATCCCCCCTGATTCGGCAAAACGTGAGGGTTTTTTGGGTTGCTATTTTATTGCCCCATAGATCAGTTAATCAAAAAACAATAAGCAGATTATGTGATAAAGAAAATAAAGTGTCATCAGTCCTACATGCAGTGAAACACAGAATCCAGTAAAACCAGCTTCGTCTTCTTTAATGTGCACTTAACCCCAGTATAAACCCTTCAGCTCTACAAATTATGAATCAAAAGATAACGGCAGCCTGTTGCAGGTATGAAGGCCTGTGGACTGTTGCAGCCCTTTTTATTATGTCAAACAATAGACAAGTGCATGGCGGAGACTGGAAGCACAGATGGAATTGTATAACACAGAGTATCATTTCCTTTAGAAAATAAATAAGTAAATAAACCTGATGTACTACCCGGCTCAGGACAGATTAGGCACTTGTGATGACCATATACTGTAGAAGAGGAAACTAGACTCAGGTTTCACACACAGTCCTAAAGGGGCCCCAGGCCTGTCTCCAGGAACCATTTCATATCACTGTACTGTGAAAAACATGATGTGTCGAGTCTGTCAAGACTTGATATCCTTGGACAACTATTATTCAATATTTATATGCTTCCATTAGAACAAACTGTATAAAACAATAAAATCACTGTCAGAAGTGAAAACCTGTATTTTTAGGTGGATATCTGACTATTTTCACATTTCTATTACTGAATTTCATGAACTCTTTCTGCACTTTCTGGGATGTAGTGGTGGAAAATCAAAGTGTTTTTGGACAATATAATGGACAAGACAAGAGCTGTCACTTAAAAAAAAAAAAAAAATCAAAGTTGCAATGAACACAGAATGTGTTTGGTTCTGCTAATGATGGAGAAATGTCTGCTGTGTTCTGACCCGAGACAAATCACCGTGCTCTAGGTCTTCTCAACAAACTGGACCAGAGTAGGAAACACACCAGCGCTAATCAGGTTAATGTGAACACAGCCTGAATCAACCTACACAGAACCTTTGAAAACTGCAACAAAAGAAAGAGAAAAGGGAGAAACATCAGCGAACGAGTCACAAACCAAACACAACATGCACCAGCAGATCAAACGCTGCCAAAAGTGACAGTGTATAACCCAACAATACAGGAGAGGAGCACCTGTTCATTCTGCAGCTGGGGACACAGGCGGTGTCAGTGTTTTAAACGAATAAAAGGAAGGATGTCACCGCCACAATAAGAGCACAGGCTCACTGTGGCTCTTTAATCAGGCTGCTCCGAGATAAGCAGACAAGACAACAATGAGACACTCTGGCCTTCTTCTACAGACCAGCTTACACACACACACACACACACACACACACACACACGGTCCTGACAGGTCTGCACACAGGCAGACACCCCACACTAGCAAGTCTGCAGTGCTATGCAGCTTTTTAGCCTCTTTAGGCTGCTAGTTTTGGTTTTACATCACTGGTTTGGTCTCTGTTTCCAGCAGCAGCACAGAGCTTTTTTCAGAAGGCAAAATATGTGCAAACAATCCTCACTGCTGACCAACAACAAAACATCTTCACAGTGCGGACCGGTAAGAAAACAAGGAGCCAGAGAATTGTAAACAGTTGAGGTTATCAGAAATCTCTACAACCTCTCTGCAGTATAAACGCAGGTTGTGAGACAGGAGTTTATGGCAGCCTTTAAAGAACTCTGACGGTGAAAAGAATTCTCTGGCCTGAGGAGACAAAGTGTGAGAGAGGACTCCAGCACTATGTCTGGGGAACTCCAGGCACAGGTGAAGGCAGCATTATGCTGGGGGGGACTTTTCAGCAGTAGGGACTGGGGGACTGATCGGAACCGAGGGAAGGAGGAATGCAGGGACTTACAAAGTAACACTAACATTTTACAGGCTCACAAAAAAAAAAAAAGCTGTTTCAGTCCCAATTGCAGTAAAAAAGCTTTGCCCTGACTTTAAAATAAACAAGAACAAATTATGCTGAACTTCAAATATGTGGTGAGGGTCAATGCCTGAATTTGTTTTGAGTCAACTTAATTTTTTACAGTTTTGTTTGTTGATGATTTATGTGCAGAGTACCAGACAGTGTACAGAACAAAATCTTCACCAACAGCTCCAATTACTCTAATAATTTAATGATAAAATGTGGTTAATGTCTTAACAGCCACTGTTCATTAAAACTAAACAGTTTTATTCCTTCCTAAAAATACAGAGGTAAAGTCAGAGTACATGCAATAACGCTGCCCATTAAGTACAACAGCACCCACTTTCCCATCCGCACTGGTCTGAAGACTAACTGGACCAGATTCGGGTCCAGACACACAGCTGATACACACGTCTGACAGTTACCTTGGATGACAGCCTTCAGGATGAAGTTGCCAGCTGGTAAAAACACCAGAGGCCCTTTGCGAACCACCTTCCCCTGGAACAACAGAAGCCCATCAATTACGTCAATATGCGCAAAGCAAAGTATTAATAATATTCACCAGCAATCACTACGGTGCAATCAGACGTTTTAATCACCTGATGAAGACGTAATGTTGTGATTATATTTAATGAACCATCCCCTTGGGAACACTGATTCAGTGTGGGTACTTTTTCACTTTAAGTGACTGCAGACTTCTTCTAATTAACTCCTGCACAAACATCCATAAGAGCAAAAGTGTCTCTAATCTTTGTGGTAATGTGGCTCTCATTTTGGTATTTTCCCTGAACTGCTCGTCGGTGTTGTATGTTGGTGGCCACATGGTGTACAGTGGGAGGAAAGGGCAAGCAGGTGGAAGGTTCATTTAACTGAAGCACAGCAAAATGAGCCGCTGGTATTTTAGTGAAAAATTGGTCTTGCACTGAGTCAATCTGCTCACAAGTTGTTTTTTGTGTGCGTGTGTGTCCAAAAGGGTAAACTAAATACTTTGAGCGCTGGCTCATCAATAATGGAAAATGCTTTTGCTTTCTGCAGTCACTTAAGAGCCTGAGCAGATTTAATTATAGGCCTGCAGTAAACACACCTCGACTGTTTTGTTGGAGTATTTGGTGTTGATGCTGATGGCTGAGATGGGAACCCTGGTTAGGTGTGCTGGTACCTGAGCACCTGGCCTCGCTCCGTCCGACAGCACACGGACAGGCATGGCGACTTGGTAACCTGAGAGACATGAATTAAAACATAGCACTCATTTCAGTACAGACAAATAGTCTCGTTTAAAATTCAATCTGGGTTTAATGGGACTGATTTTAACAGCATCAGCACTAAAACATCTGACAATGTTCAGTTCATGTTAATCTGGTTTGGACATATGGGAATGTCAGCGGTTTCTGTCATAAAACACAGGATGCACCGCTGATAGATACTGATCCAACCTGTGAGCTCTGGTTTAAAGTCCAGTCTAACTTTCCTCCACCACAAACATCTTATTACCAGGATAAAATCTCTCCAAGGAAAAACCAGATTCACGCCGACAGCGCTGCAGGACGGTTAAAGCCTTTGAGACGTTTCAAAGAGAAGTCAGGACAGCGTTGGGCATGTTCCCAGCAGGTAGCACGTTGCTTCCTGTCAGAGCTCATTAGTTTGATTTCAGGTAGATTTGACTGGCGAGTCCCTCCGTGGTACCTTGCTGACCGATGACGGCGGAGCGGGAACAGCCTGCAAGGCAAAGGGGCTGCTCACTCGACCATACAGTCAGCCACTCAGCCAGGAAGAAATAAAATGAAACAAACCTCTCCGATTTGGACCAAAGAGGAGCAGCCAGAGGCCTGAATCAGAGTAGGATGAGCGTTTCATTCATTACTTCAGGGTAACTGTGTGTAACATAGGAACTAGTGTTGCCACAATACTGGAATTTCTAACAATACAATACCTTAAAAAATATATTTGAATACCATTTTCAATACTGTGGAGAAAAACTGACACTCGACTGAATGCATAATATTTTGTATATTTGTCATGACCAGAAAATAGATGTTCTCCACCCAAAAGTGTTTAACTGAATCCAAAGGTACTGATTGTTTACTGAGCTCCTCCTGCTTCGTGTTGGTTCGCGTCAACCAGCAGCAGCGAACTTATCAGCTGGGCGTGGGATCACGACTGCATGTGCCAAAGTCTGGCCAACCTGCAGCTGCTTGTGGTATGTAGGCCTACAGCTGCTCATTCACAGGTAAAACAGTGTTTACATTGCAGCATCACTTACTGTATGTTAGATGCAACATCTGGCATATTGTAACAAAAATGTTCAGTATAGTTAAATCCTCCTGGTTTGCAGCACTAGAAACCTTGAGGTCATCATTCATTCAATCTTTCAAATGCTGATTTAAAGTGAGCTAAAGCACCTGTGGAAGCAGCAGCTTCTCTGACTTTGCATCTCTACTGACAGCTGCCTGGCAGCGGTGCATCCTCTTGGGACCTTACAAAAACACCTGTGTGATAAAATCTTGACACCTGGACCTGCAGAACCTCATCTATGCATGCAGTGAGCTGACCTGTCGCATCCCATAGCTGGTTTGTTTGTTAGCCTCAGTAAATAAATGGTGCAGTCTAAGCTGAAAGTCAGAGCAGAGCAGCATATCAGGGACCACCAGTCAGCTGTAAGCAGTCGGCTGATCCCTGCAGTGGGGCAGCGGCTGATCCCTACCAAATGTCAGTGGGCCACCCTGAACAGATGTTGACCTTCTCGTTCTTCTGGGTTTCACTGAAACCCACCACTCAGCTGCTTGGGGATGCGCATTTACTCAAGTTCATCCCAACACCATCGTTCACAAGGAACACAGAGGCCGAGAGGAGCAGAGGACAGATCCAAACAGCAGCACAGTACAGCAGTTAGGAGTGCAGACCAGACATGACTGCTGGGGTGGGAGGACACTCGGTGGCTGCACACACTGAAGTACTACTGACCTGCTCCCGTCACTGTGGCCTGCCGCAGTATCACTGAGCCAAACACAACCCCCCTACAGCTCAGTAAGGGCGAGTCCCATTTTAAAATTGCCAAGTACAGATTATAATCTAAATGATAATTAAATGAGTCCCGTTCTCCCCAGTCCACATATCGAAGTGCCCTTGGGTGAGACACTGAACCCCAAGTTGCTCCAGCCAGAGCAGCGCTGTCATTGGGGTGTGTGAGCCAGCGTCACAGATGGCTGCCTCGGATTTGTTCTGGAGAGAAATACCTTGTGTGTGTGTGTGTGTGTGTGTGTAACATACTTGGCCAATAAAAGTGATTATCATCATTATCATTAGTGGCAGCCTGACATGTCGGGACTGCACAACATGCTACACTTCCTGCTTTCTCATTGTTTTCTTTAAAAATGTTCTGGCTTGATTGTCAGTGTATTACTAGCAAAGTTTCCATCCAAAAGAAGCACAAGCTTTAACAACAAAAAAAGCAAAGTAATATGAATTCCCATGTATTACTGTTATACAAACAGGATCAAATGAAGATGAGCATCTAATCAGGGGCAGAGGGCAACGAGACGACATCATTAGAGACCACACCACCAGTAAAACAACAAACCGTGGACCACCGTGTGAGAAACATGATGAAACATGGCAATTAGGTTGGTCTCACATGTTAAACAGATGCGTGTTTTTACAATAACACGGTTAAGGTACAGACCGTGATAAGTACACCACAGTTCACTGTAGATGACTCCCTCACACCATCCACTAAGAGACAATCTAAACTCCAAACTTACATGTTTAATTGCCATATTACTCCAATTTTCCAAAGTACACTCATTAATTATCCACAGAGGTGAACGCTTAGCTCAGTGCTGGCTGCAACCTGAAGGTTCATTTCCTACAACATAAACCTGCAGCTGCCACAGGCGTACGCTCCAATAGCTTCACCTAAACTCACAATTCATCAGGTGACTTCAGGGGTGTTTTATCAGGTCAGGAGCAGCTTGCGAGTGCCGAGTGGAGAAAGTGTGTCGAGGGAGGGCAGCTCTGCAGCACTCAAAGCAGCCCATTTATTACAAACCATTTAAAAGCACAGTTCAGCAAGTGAGTCACCGGCTCTCTCTGGACAAAAGCAGAAAGACCAGACAGACTGAAGAGAGACAGACAGGAGCTGGGCGCAGACCCTCAGGCTGAAATTGTCTCACAACTTACAGCCACACTCCCTGTAGGAAAAAATAACTAAATGAAAGGCTCCTTAAAAAAAAAAAAAAAAAGACTACTTCATTGCCGCTTTAACCTGCAGCTCCTCACACTACACAGCTGTCAGATCAAATCAAATGTCACCAACCCTGCAGCCATTTAACCTCTTCTGCTCCTAGTTCTTGTTTTAAGGCACATTTACGGTGTGGATGAGGGTCAGCATTTCTAAGCAGCAGCAGGCAGCTGGGAGAAGGCCTGCCAGACAGACAGACAGACAGACAGAGACTAGCTGATGGAGAGGGTGGTGCATCTAGCAGCTCTAGAGTCAGATATTGCTCTTAGGAGTGGCTGGAGAACAAATTGCAGCTTAAGGAAGAGAGAATCTTGGACTTGAGCAGCTCTGAGAGGATGAAAATGTTGTTCTGTGTCTGTTAGATGTCGAAGCAGGCAGCCACTTGTAACAGGCTAACAGTGTTTCATATCTGAAAGTTTACATTGCAAAGTTTAAATTTGACCAGAGGATCTGAACTGTGTTTGTTATTGTGTTGACTGTCTTAAAAATCACAAATCAGATATTGGTTTACTGCAGATAAACTGAAAGGGCAGATACACTCACCAAGTCTAATGCAACACTCCTGCAAAACAATCCTCCTTAATGAAGATGATAAGGTTCAGTTTGTGTTCAAACTGTTTGAGTTTTGAGTTTACAGGGAGCTTTTTCTGTCATTCATTATGGCCTCACAAATATAAATTGGGTGGACTAAATAACAGAAACACCTGTCAGGGTAGAACAGTTCAACAGCTACATCCTCCAAAATGATCACACAACTGAAACAACACTGAATGAAACTGAACATTATCACCTTTACTTATTGCAGGACTGGTGGGTTAGACTGACTTAGTTATAGTTGAGTGTACCTAATAATCTGACTGCTGAGTGCATATTGGTTGATCAGTAACAGGGAACTGAACCTCTAACCCTGACAGTGTCAGTGTCTTGTTGAAGCTGTGCTGAACACAGACCAGAATGAACCGTTTACCCGATTTTACATTTTCATGCTGTTTTATCTGATTCATTATCAAAGGAGGCTTAAAATATTCAGCCAAAATGGGACAGGTACAGTGGATCACAGGGCCTGTGAAGTGGAGATAGGTTTTTTTTAATTGACGCATCCTCACAAATCATGTCTTATCTCGTGACCCCCAGGTTCAAAACGCAGATGCAAAAGGTTTATTTCTAAGCAGACAGAGATGTTTCCTCTGCAGAGGGGATCAGACAAATGCTCCCAGAGGGCAGAGCGAGATGAGCTGTCTTTCACCACCAGCAGCTGATAAGAAAAGGCTGACACTGGTTCAGTAACACAAACATCACGAGGGTACACAGAGAAGCCGGACCACGGTCAACTTTTCATCATGCTTAGAGTACAAACAACAGGACCCTACACCACTAGGCTGAGAAGATGTCTACAATGGCAGCAGGGAAGGAGAAGGAGCATAAACACATTAAGGAAGCACTTAAAACCTGTGGGTCACTGTCAAACAAACCACCAGAAGATCCAGTAAGAGCCTCTCTAATAGAGACAGAGGAGAAAAGAACAGTCGGCACAAATTCTGGCCACCCCCTGGCTCCATCCATGGATGTTAGGGGTGTCACCTTGTATTTTATATTCAAAACATTTGATTGGATTTGGGAAAATGAAAAACCATTCAAATGTTAGTGCTTCTTCAGTGTTTTGCAGAATCAAGTAGGATGTGTGGTCTGACCTACAGTACTTGCTGTCATCTCTGGCAACATGAGAAAAAAATACAGCGCTATAAATACAGCACTTTGACAGGGCTAACTGACACGTGCTTGTTGTACCTGAGTTGTACCTTTAACCTCAGAAGAATGTTTGGAGAGTTTAAACTAAAACAGTGAGCTAACATGGCAAATCTGATGACATAAAGCTGACTTATGAAACCTCTTCAGCGTGCACAGTTAAAAAAATATTAACTTTATATGCTTGCAGAAGCAGATTCTTTTTTTTTTTGGATGAGCTTCTCAAAACTGAAACACTCCAAAGCCGCTGACTGTAGGCCCCAGTGACTAGCTTTATTGTTTTAATAGAGATGGTTCACAGTTTTAATGAGCTCCTATGGAAGTATCACCTCACTGAAGAAAAAGAAATTCCCCGTTCTGACTGCAAGCCACTCTGGACCAAAGCCATCACATGACAGAATCAGCAGGCCTGTGATTACACCATCAGATGACAGCATGAAAATCATTCAAATAATCAGAGGGTTATGTAGAAAAAAGTACCTTACAGTGATGTACAGGTAGAACTACTAAAAATTGTGTTTTGGTATTAGAGACAGTAAAATGATCATGGTAAAAAAAAGTATACAAAAGGCTGAACAATCAGCAGCTGACCGACACACTGTTCATGGACAACTGCATCGGGCCCACACCTCTACATCTGCAACACAGCCACTTCCTGTTTGGTTCACCTGTCACCTGTCCTGTTACAATACAGGAAAGGCCTGCACATTTTCTACCTTACCAATGTATCTAGTGTTGAATCATCTGAGGATATGTAAAATGTAACAGGAGTTTTTTTTCTTACAAATACTGAGTGTCTTTCTATAAATCTATCTCCTGGTATGAACCATGGTCTGTGGTAGCTTGTACCAAGCATAATTAAACTTATCCTTTTTCTGCATGAATATAATCTGATCAAATAAGGCTCATCAGCTTTCCAGGTTCCCCCCCTACAAGTCTGTCAGGTGAGTTTAATATAGTAAAATCCACCACCTATTACACAGGCAGTATGTTTGACATTTCTCAGCAATATTCAAAAATAATCATAGGGGCGAAATGTGATATTTATCTATTAAACCATGTTTGGCTGAGTATTATTAATTTAGACACCAGAGTACAAAGAGCACAGTAATTAGTTAACAACAACATTTCATAGTGAGCTACAGCTGAGCCAGCCAGTGACTAGGGATGTGCAAAAACTTGGCATGAAGAGTCACAGGCAATGAACTGTTTGTACAACTGCAAAACAAGATAATGCAGCAGTCCTTTAATAATATCACTGTAATCACACTCACAGTGGAACATCAGTGTTTTAGTTCCCCCTAGGCAGGTTTAATTTAGTCTGTTTGGTGACCATGCCAACCGGTGGTCAAGATCAGTGTCACTGGACCTGTTGAAGCGGCACTCTCAGACTCTATTTGAACTTCATAATGGTTACTCCTTCAGCTATCATTTCAGTGTGTGTTAAGCCGGACAGACACTGTGCAAGTTTCACTGGCTGTGAACAACGTGTTAGCTCACAACACTATAACGCTTTAAGGGACATTCCTGCACAGTCTGAACCTGCAACTTCTCTGCTCACACTGTATATGCTGTCGGTCTCGACAACATTCTGAGGACACATGGCACACTGTGCTGTTGCCAGAGCTCCATTAGCCTCATCGAAGTTTCTTCTGTAGCCAAAAGGATCAAAGATTTTTATTGTATGTGCAGGACATAGAGAAAATCTAAATACCATTTCTCTCTCACCTAGTATTGCCATACATTTAAGAAACTAAAAGAGTAAAAATAGAATAAGAAAACAAAAAATGTTTGTTTTAATTTAATGAGTAATTGTGGGAAATCAAAATGTGTACATGCTCACACTACAGAAACAGCCAATCAAATTTTATGACCTGCCAGACATCCATCCGATCATCCGGGAGCCAAGCCATAGGTCATTTGTGTGATTAATCGGACACAGAGCCCCTACTCACCCTGCACATCAAACAACAAGTGATCAGGCTGAAATTCAGCCTGATTCTAACATGAGTTGCGTTGAGTTGGTGGCTGATTTGGGGCTAAAATCGGGCGGAATCTGTAAGCATCTGCCCAGCTTTATGTGCATGTACCACCACAAATCCATCAATATGGAGCCTATTTTATTCAGTCTCTTTGAATGATTTTTGTGCAAAACTGACACTGAGCAGACCGGTGCGGGTCTCACAGCCTCCTGCTGGACAGATGCCTTCTGTTCTTAGCCTCTTCAGCACACAGCTAGTCAGAGGCTGAGGCTGGGCTTTTACTCCAAGAAGCAATTTTTCAAGTGAAAAGAGCAGCAGGTGATCTCTGTAATGCAGCAGCCACTGAGGCAAAGAAGAGAAACACCAGAGTGCCACAGCCAGATGAAAGTCCAGTGTCCTCACTCCCTCATACAGCTGTCCAGCAGGAGGTTGCCGGGGTCACACACTGTGTGATCCACCCCACAGCCAGGGCCTGCCACTTCAAAAGCAGGAGGGAGTGCTCATCTTTCAGCTCTCACAGGCAGGTGGAGACAGGGTGAGTAAGCTGCTCGGGGCTCATAAATATTTATCTGTACCTCCAAACAAAAGAAGCATTGGAGAGGAGCTGAATGATCAGCCGACTAGGACAAAGGTTGATTAGTAACATAAGGTAACTCTTCACACGGTAATTCATCTCACTAGCCTTGGATACAGGGATAAGGAATAGGACAGGTCATCAAAGCTGCTAAAAGGTAGCTGCACTCTTTGTGATGTACTGCAGTGAATGTGGCTTCATATATCTAATGTTATATTTCATAAAGATGTAATCATTTTATCTGGTTTTTCTTCTGGAGGCACTTCTGTCATAAAGCTTCATTTCAGATGTAATATATCCAGCTAAACAAACCTCAGCCCCATGACACCAGATTAATGTGGGAACAATGATATCAGTATACCACTCTCTAGTACTTGTACTATAAAAGTTCTCCAATAAAACGCACCAGTACCGTTTAATGGCAACAATACATTAATCTCATGCTAGTTTAAATCATTTTAGAGGTCTATGGCGCAGACCAATAAGCTAAACCAGCTTCTGGATTCACATGCATTACAGCAAGTACACCAATTCAAATTCTGAAAATAACAAAAACATTATTAAACTTAATTTATTAAAATTAAACAAAAAAAGCTGCATCCTTTCCAGAGGCCCATCATTGCTAAGCCCGCTGCATCTAACAGTAATTGTTCTGTTGGTGCTGCTCAAAGCCCTACATCACAAGCAACCAACAGGAAACAGGTCAAGGCTCAGAGGTCACAGCACTCAGACAAGTACAACAGAGCACTGAATCACTGCATAAAACCCGATGCCAAATACAGTAACCTTTGAGCAACACCTTCACTGAACCACAAAAAAACGACTGTATAACCTGGTGTAACCAGAGTGTTATTACTGGCCACCCAGTACTGTACACTTGGTAAACAGTATCAGCTCTACAGGTCCATCTGTCACCCTTTATACCAAGCAGAATGCGGGGGAGTAATAAACAACACAATTAACAGTGACCACATAATTCCCTAGATATCAGTGTTGTTTTTACGGGTGCCGATACAGTTCGTTTGACCGTCGAACTACTTCAGACATTGGGATTATAGGTTTTGGGTGATGCTTGTTACCTGTTAGCTAACTAGTTAGCCTGCTAGCCAACTTCAGCAAACACTACTGTTATAACTAACCTCCGGTTAACATCAACAAAAGCAGCAGCATTGTATACACCAAACGAAGCTTACGAACTACTGGAGTAAGCCAATGTACAATGAATACTTGGCGTGCGAGATAATACTGTTCTGTCGCTAAGTCAAATTCCACTTTAAAAACCTTCGGTTTACAGTTCTGTTAATTCTCTGCAACCATATACAAAAAATAAAGATAGCACACAAGTTTGTCTAAACGCATTGACTCTCTTGGTAAATTCGGCAAACAATAACAATATAGTGCCGCACGTTATTTTAGTAATATTTCAACTTTCCCGTCGGTGGGTGCGGTTGAAATTTACGTTAGCATGATTTTTGCTAGCGACTGTGTAAGCCCACAAAACGATTATTAACGCTATGGCATTTTTCAGTGAAGAATCCCGTTTTGTTCTGGGTGTAGGCCGAAATTTAGAGTGGATGTTATATCATTTTAAAAAGTCTAAACCCACGCCCTGTGACATGTGCGGTTGTGCCAAGTCGCAATGAAACCTAAAATAATATGATCTTTGGTCACATATTCGCATAAGACAACAAGAACAGCGCCGGTGTCACTAAACAAATTCCACACATCGATAAAAGGACGGTTGTAGTTAAGATGCATACCTTTACCAGTCATTATGTAGAAAAAATACCACATTAGATACAGGAAATAAAAAAAGAAAACTTACGGCTGCAGGAGTTTGTTTTCCCTCTCTTGGTTTCGAATTGACGTGTGCTGTAATGCGCATGCGGGAGTCAGGTGCTATAGCCTGTCTAATAATGGGAACAGATAAAATACTACAAAAAATAAGTAGAATAAAAAAAATACAAGCTTCAAATTTTTACATTACTAGTAAATGACAATAAAACCCCAAATGATATTAAAAACATGACATGTTTTTGGTCTCAGGTCTCATATTTATACACGTACAATAGGTCATATAAAGACATTTAACAAGCTGCAGATGCAGCACTTTAAAAGATTAGAACTGGTCAAATGTTTCAACTGCAAAATTTCAGCAGCGAAAGCACCATTTCTTTCTTTTCTAGAAAGCTTGTAGAACCACACACATGCTGTAGATACTTTGAGGTATCTGTCGTAATTGAATATTTTTACACCACTCCACTGAAGGCAGCCTCTCCACAGGTCCAATCTGTTCTGTGCTGTGGCTGTGTGATACTGTAGGAGCTGGAGTCTGTTGCAGAGAGGTGTGATACTGACATCAGGCTGGTTGACCTGCCAACCTCCAGACTCTGACTGCAACCACTGGAAGTGGCAGCAGACGACTGAGGGCTTCACACTCTGCGACTCTGTCCCCCTACACTTGATGTATTTGGGAGTCATTCCTTCCAAAGTCAAAATCATCTTGCCTGTTCAAGTGCAGACAGCTCTGGCATCAGAAAACATTGTGATTCTTCAGAGGAAACAACATCTGGAGTTTTGCTGAAAATAAAACTGTAGCAACAAATTTGATGATGCTAGTGCTTGATGGTCAATGCAGATTACTGGTTTGCTGTGTAGAGTAACAGGTCTAAAGCAGATAAAGAAAATTTAAATCATTAATGCAATTAAAGCTGCTGTGCCACATGCATAAATTGTGCACAGCCCCTCTCTCATTTGGAGACGTATGTATCGATCCTGGTGCTAATGAGGGCCACAGCAATTTAATAAAGTCTAAATAAAGGAGTGACATCACATTTGTTTGGTCAGCGTGAGACAGTGAAAGCTGTGATGTTCAAGACTAAAGTGTGAGGGTTGCCAAAGCTGTGAAACTTAACAAAAAACAAC